ATAACTTACTTACTCACAAGATATCAACTGCTTGCTAACTCGGCTTGAAAGGCAATGAACAGATTGGGTTCCAAGTGTTCTAAAGTGGGTTCTGAACCCTTGATGACGATGATGTCAATGAGATCAAAGGGATTGTCATGGAAACCCAAAGATGTCAATGAGATCAAAGGGGTTGCTGTGGAAACGTTGTCATGGAAACCCTGATGATGTCACTGAGATCAAAGAGGTTGCCGTGGAAACGTTGCCATGGAAACCATTCCAGTAGACATCAACACTGCTTGTAGTTGTCTGGTTCTTCTAGGATTTTTGACCGTTTGAGAGTCGAGAGCAGAGAAATCAAGGATGCTGATATTTATCATGTCTTTTACTCATACAAATGAGCATGACAAATATTATTTTCTTAAAATCTTGAATTGGAGGTTTAATTATAAAACAATGTTTGTGGTTTTCTGGATGATAATAATCATCACTTTGAGGGGAAAAAATAAAAAGCAGCTTTTTTTCCATCTTAGCTCCTGAAAGCTCATTAGAACGATTCCAATGTAACGGCACGTGAACACGAGTCCACGCGGCTCCACGCGGCTCACTCACTGGCCACACCCACACAAGGGGCAGTGGAGATTGACCTTTGACGTCCAAAGTCTCACCAATATCTCCCACCTCGTGGTTGCCAGCTGTAGTGTTCTTGAATGCAACGGTAATCTGCAATGAGCACATATAATAACAGTACAGGGGTTTGCTTACATCGAAGGTCAAATCTATCAAATTAGTCAAATAAAATGCTTAAACTGCTTTCCATCTGTCAATGGGATTTGGAAAATGACGACTCATTAGGGCTGACGTTCCACCACTTACATACAAACACTCGCTGCGCTGCGGTTAAGCCTCATGACTGAGACGCTCCTCCGCTCGGCCCCGACTCTTCAAAAGCTACTCTGTCATCATTTTGATTATCAATAGATATAAATACTTTTGCTCTTGTAATATTAGGCTTTTGAACAAATGAGAGTGACGTGGACGTGTTTTATTTGTGCTTCCATTGTGATGAAGGATCGTCGACCAAGACCGATTGTCGTCTTAACGGCTAAATGTCTCCGATTTCCAGTAGATGGTTCAGTAGCAGGTGACAACAGGGTTTGGTGGGAAACCCTCAATGTGGGCGCACAAAGTCTTTCTTTTACAAAGGATGCCAGATTATATGTTTTCTCTTTCTCTTTTTGTGTGTGTTGTAAGACATCAAATCACTGACAAATCCATGAGTAATAAGTGGTTGAGTATGAACTTGATGGATGAGTGCAAATCCCTCATCAGAGCATCAGATGCGGGAACAGAAGGATATAAAGTCCAGGCCAACGTTGTTTCACTCAGGCTTGTGTGATGCATACAGATCGTTGCACGCCACCTCAGTTTGCGTTGAGCCACAACAAACAGAGTGGACATTTTTCAGAGCAGGGACTTCAAGGGCTGAGATTGATTTGAGTGAGATGAGTGGATCACAACTACAAGCTAAAATGCCTCACAGTGCAAAGCATAGTCGATGGATTTGAAGAATTGGTTAATGACCTACAAACCAAATACTAAGGAGACCCTGCTTAGTAATGTTCCACCAGAGCTTTCTGAAACGGCCGAGAGATGTTTTCCTTCTATTGAAAATCCATTGACGAATTTCAATACAGATGCTAAACGTCAGAGATGCTGTGCAGATAAGTGGAAAATGGTGCAACCAGGGGAACACGTTCTAGGTGTGAGATTTGTATCCTGTATTTGACCCTGACGTGCAAAGAGCAGCAGGATACAAAACGTTAGTTTGCAGCTGTGCCCTGAGAAGGGAGGACGGTCGACTTGATCTCATAGAAGCTTCAAAACAAAGGACTCCTGTTCATGGCCTTGGTTCATATCTTATTCGGTACGAAAGTTCCGGATCCAAGTTTTACTTTCATGTCAATTAATAATGATTTGCAGCGGCCACTGAGGAGGATCCTGTGTGTGTGTGTGTGTGTGTGTGTGCTACCCTCAGCTTCACCTGGGTTCTTATCTCAACCTGCTTTGCAGCTTCTCCTAACTGACACGGAGAATGTCCTTCACATGTGTATAAAAACTCAGCGTTCTTACTGCTCGGAGACGCCATTTCCACAGAGCACCGTGATACGTGCCTGTGTATTTGACCTCCTGCTTGCAAGCAGTAAATGGACTTTTTGCAACTTTGATCATTCATCAAGACTCTGTTTTATCAGACAAATCATTCTCTTCTACCGAGCTTTTATTGAAATATTCCATAACAATTACCTCCTCCCAAAATTGAATTCTGTACTGATGAACTTTCAGCTTCTCTTGCTTTTCCACGCCGATGACATTAAAAAGGTTTTGATGCCGTTCTGAAGCCTCTAGTGGAGGATTTAAAATGTTTGGAAACAGATGGTGTACAAACCCCAGGATCTGAGTCCATTAAGAGGACGTGTAGTTAAGATCACAGGAGACAGTCTGTTTGCATTTGTTGAATCTTTCAGGGCCAAATGCGGTTGTCGTGTTTGTTTAGCGGAAAGCGATGTTTTCCCAGGGATCTTTCCTGAAGATCAACCCGGTGTTGTATTGCGCTCTAAAGATCTTTATTCTCAACACTCAGCATTAGACCCGTATTGTTAAAATGAACTCTTTAATAGATTTGAAATGTAACTCAACACCAGTCTCACACTTGTTGGGTTTTTAACTCTATATAGAGTTTATTTAACACTGATCAGATCTATTTGCGACACTTAGTAGAGTTCATTTTCAAATCTATTAAAGCGGTCATTTAACTCTTTGCACCGGTCTCACACTTGGTTTAACTCTACGTACTGATCAGATTTATTTGTGACACTTGGTAGATTTAATTAACTCTTAATAGATTTGAAATGTAACATCAGTTCTCGGTGTTGGGTTTATCTCTACGTAGAGAGTATTTAACACTGAGCAGATTCATTTTTGAGTGTTGATTTAACACTGAGGAGACTGGGACAATATAAACACCAGCTTTGAGTTCAAATTGAGTCAATTTAACTCTATTATTAGCACACAGCACATTTCCGATAGTGTTTGTGTAGCGTTGCGAGTGGCCTCTTTTTCGCCTGTTCAATGAAGTGATTTTTTAATTCTTTAAGTTCAAACCAGCTCGGCTTGGTTTATTAAATAGCGAAATCTCAAATCCTCCAATCTGGACTCAAAATGGGTCTTAATAAAATACAACTGACTAATCAAACTTCCTCACAGTCTTTACAGTATCCAAAGTGAAAGTTTGAAATAAAAATGCAGAGTAAACATTTAAATAGTGAGCTGAAGAATATATCTGCTGAATAATATCAGTCTGGCATTATAAAAAAAGAGATAAAACTGAAGACGATTCTCTAGCAAAAACAAAAAGTCATCTGACTCAAATATACTGTATATCTATAGATATATATACACATACATACAGTTATGTACAGTATCAGCTAAATAACGTGGACAGTGTGCATTCATTCATTCGCTCTGACGCTCTGATGCTCTCGCCCCTCAGAATGCCATCGTGCTCTCAGGTCATTTCCACCCGCCTTTAATTTACGTTAAATTCCCCCCCAAAAAAACGCTGCCGGTCACAAGCGGTTCCCCCTTTGTGCCTCCAACACGACGAATGAATGGATGATTTTTTTTTTTTTCTTCGTAAACAAGCTTGGAGTTGGTCCAGACGTTGAAACCGTAGGTTGAGTTCTCACTCAGGCGCCTGCATCCGCGTATTTGTCCTTTTTCTTTGTCCCCCCTTTTGGCTCGACCTGCTCTCCCACAATGCAGCAGTGATCATCTGAGAGTGAAAGGGGCCCCCAGGAATGCCGCTGGGAGCATGTGTTGATCACAGCGTGTGTGGGGGGGGGGTCACTGGTTGGGCATCCGTGTTGGGAATAATCCAGAGTGAGATTAACAGCGCACAATACCCTTAATCTCACTCTGGATTATGGTTAAACGTCCTGCAGAATTAACGTCTATTTCTGGTTGTTTTTAACTCTGGATGAAGACGTAGGGGACAAGTGTCCAAACGCTGTTCAAGACATAACGATCTCCACAGTCTGGTTTCTGCGTCTCAGCCGGGTCGTTCGACCTCTCGTTCGACCTTTTGTTCGACCTCTCGTTTGACCTCTCGTTCGACCTCTCGTTCCTAGAAAGTGAACCGGGTCGATGGGGAAGAATCTTCTGGAGAATAAGGCTGATTTTATTCAACCTCGTTCTTTTAATTACTTAATTCTCTACTTTCATTGATGCTTTGGTCAATTTGAAAGGTTTCTCTATGGATGATGTCATTATGCTACACTAAAATACATCTTTTTTCCCCGAGGAGATGAACTGGGCTTGAATAATGTTTTCAGCTGCTGGACACAACAAGCTGAAAGTCAGCCGGTCAGATTATCATCCCAGCAGAAAGTGTCCCACCAGGTGGGACAAAATGCTGCCGTCCGATTGGTGGAGCCAGCCTCAGAGAGAACATCAACGGGGCCGGCGCGTCCGGGGAAGGTCATCCCGACTGAGAGGACGGGATTATCCCGACGCTCCGCCCCGCCGGCGCAAACCTAATCTGACTCTCTCCTCGCTGCTCTTTTCTCTGTCACTTTGTCGTCGTTTCCTCGGCAAGAACACCGAGGGTAAAAAAAACAACATTCAGGGTGAATAAAATACGAGGGAAGGGAAACATCGCTGAATCGTTCCAAGGTTTGAAGTTGCCAATATTTTAGTATTTTTACGTAAATAAAACCTTCTTACCTGTTGCACATCATTTCATGATTAAACATGAAACACTGGGGGCCACCGGGGTTAGAAGTCAGGGGGTCCACCATGTACAAATCACACAGGGTTAATTCTTTAATTGCTGTAAATCTGGATTAAACCTGCGTATTGCGCAATCCCATTGTAGTGTGGGTTTGTGCAGCGCTGGGGGGAAGGGAAGGGAGGGACAGATGGGACGGACACAAGGTCCCCGTCGACCTCCTCCTCCTCCTCCTCCTCCTCCCCTCACAGACTCTTTGCTTAATCTGACCGGGGGAGGACGGGTGGAGGAGTGGGGGGAGGCCACTGGGCATTTGCCACCACCTCTCCCTCTTTCCTGGCAGCACCCAACACAGCCGCAGAGCCAAAGCACGCAGGATATGGGCAGAAAAACAAGTCGTTCCCCCGCCAGGCCGGACTGAGAGCAGCGCGGACCCGGCGCTCCTGGTCAGGCCCTCGCGTACTGGGAGCCCAGGCGGACCAGATTGACGCTAATCCGGCATTAGAAGCATGTAGCGCCGACATGCTGGACTCCTTCTGACCTTTTCTTTCCCACTGCCGGGCCTTTTCCTGGACGTCCGTGTTCTCTGGGCCTCCGTCAGGATGTGGTGACGCCATCTTCGCTGGCACGCTGAGAGAAGGAAAACCCGGTGGGACGTCCATGGCCAAATGTAGAGTCGTGGTGGCCGAAGAAAAGCCGCTAAGCGGCACAATGTCGGCCAGTCAGGGGATGAGCAGCAGCGGCGCCTACAACTACTTCCTCAACATGGTGGCCTATCAGGTGAGAGCTGACGACTTTACCAGTCTAGTCACATTTGTGTTAGTAAATGACTAAATTAAACCTCTGTGAGGAGGAATTTCTTGTCCAAGTGCTCCAGAAATGTTGTGCAAAGACATCGACATTAAATAGAAAAACGTTTTAATTCAGTAGAAAAACCAGCTGGTCGCTGTAGGTTTTGTTTCCACCGGCGGATTAATCCACATTGTGCTCTGGGAAATGTTGGTGGCAGCAGGACAGTGTGTGTTGGATCAAACTACAGTGTGTTTAATTCACGGCGATGGAAGAACAGTGATGGGGAAGATATCAGATACACGCGATGATGAACCGGGAAGCTTTGAAGGCCTTAAAAAACCCTGCGAGGGGGTTGGAAGGGTCCAGCAAACACAGGCGACAAACTTTTGAGTTACGCTGATGCAGAGTCCCAACGCTGCATTCTCTGTAGTGACCAGCAGGGGGCGACTCCTCTGCTCCCATAGACGTCTATGAGGAAATGACTCCACTTCTCTCGTGATTTGTTCCCTCAGTAAACATTGTAAACATGAGTTTATGGTCTCAGTCTCTAGTTTCAAGTCTTCTTCAACACAACATAATGTTCATTTAGTGAATTATGGTCCATTTAGAGTCACACAGACCATAAAGCAGGGGATGCTTTGGGGGCGGGGCTAATGTTTGACTGACAAGTCTCTAGCAGACTCTGACGCATTCTGAATCTGGTAACTTTTAATTGCTTGAGAAAAGAAAAACTTGGGGACGGCCGTAATCCAAAATGGAGACTGTGAAATTGTGAAAGGCTCCTAAGCATCAGTCCACAAAGCAGAGCGTGACGTCACGATGACGTCACACCATCGTAGAAAACGCTGATAACAACTGATATAAACCCTTACATGAGTCAGTTTCAGCAGCTGTGTGTTTTGGAGACATTATTTATTTATAACTCATCCTGTCACATTAACAAAAAAGAAAGAGGAAGCGGATTATTCCTCAACATGTGGCATCACAGACTCACTGACCCGTTTATCCCGAAAGAACCACTGAATTATTGGAATTATAATTATTCATCAGATCGCTTCCTTCAACCTCTTCCCTCTGTGACTACCGGTGCATTATGAAGGATTAAACATTACATTACAGGTCATTTAGCTGCTTTTATCCAAAGCGACTTACATTACACTTTAAACCCATGGCTTTTTCACATTTTTGCCCGGGGAGCAATTAGGGGTTAGGTGTCTTGCTCAGGGACACTTCGACATGGAACATGGGGCAGCCTGGAATCGAACCACCAACCTTGTGCAGCACACCTTCTCTAACCCCTGCCCCACGACGACCCCAAGCCCCGACATGAGGCCTGACATGATGCCCGACATGCGGCCCGACATGAGGCCCGAGATGAGACCCGACATGAGGCCCCACATGAGGTCCGACATGAGGCCCGACATGATGCCCGACATGCGGCCCGACATGAGGCCCGACATGAGGCCCGACATGAGGCCCCACATGCGGCCCGACATGAGGCCCGACATGAGGCCCGACATGAGGCCCCACATGCGGACCAACATGAGGCCCGACATGAGGCCCGACATGAGGCCCGACATGAGGCCCCACATGCGGCCCGACATGAGGCCCGACATGAGGCCCGACATGAGGCCCCACATGCGGCCCGACATGAGGCCCGACATGAGGCCCGACATGAGGCCCGACATGAGGTCCGACATGAGGCCCCACATGAGGCCCCACATGCGGCCCGACATGAGGCCCGACATGAGGCCCGACATGATGCCCGACATGCGGCCCGACATGAGACCCGAGATGAGACCCGACATGAGGCCCCACATGCGGCCCGACATGAGGCCCGACATGAGGCCCGACATGAGGTCCGACATGAGGCCCCACATGAGGCCCGACATGAGGCCCGACATGAGGCCCGACATGAGGCCCCAACATGCGGCCCGACATGAGGCCCGACATGAGGCCCGACATGAGGCCCGACATGAGGTCCGACATGAGGCCCGACATGAGGCCCCGACATGAGGCCCCGACATGAGGCCCGACATGAGGCCCCACATGAGGCCCGACATGAGGTCCGACATGAGGCCCGACATGAGGCCCGACATGAGGCCCGACATGAGGTCCGACATGAGGCCCCACATGCGGCCCGACATGAGTCCCGTCATGAGGCCCGACATGAGGCCCGACATGCGGCCCGACATGCGGCCCGACATGAGGCCCCACATGCGGCCCGACATGAGGCCCAACATGAGGCCCCACATGCGGCCCGACATGAGGCCCGACATGAGTCCCGACATGAGGCCCGACATGAGTCCCGACATGAGGCCCGACATCAGGTCCGACATGAGTCCCGACATGAGTCCCGACATGAGGTCCAACATGAGGCCCGACATGAGGCCCGACATGAGGTCCGACATGAGGCCCGACATGAGGCCCGACATGAGGCCCGACATGAGGCCCCACATGCGGCCCGACATGAGGCCCCACATGCAGCCCGACATGAGTCCCGACATGCGGCCCGACATGAGGCCCCACATGCGGCCCGACATGAGGCCCGACATGAGGCCCGACATGAGTCCCGACATGCGGCCCGACATGAGGCCCCACATGCGGCCCGACATGAGGCCCGACATGAGGCCCGACATGAGGCCCCACATGCGGCCCGACATGAGGCCCGACATGAGGCCCGACATGAGGCCCGACATGAGGTCCGACATGAGGCCCCACATGCGGCCCGACATGAGTCCCGACATGAGGCCCAACATTAGGCCTGACATGAGGCCCGACATCAGGCCCGACATGAGGTCCAACATGAGGCCCGACATGAGGCCCGACATCGGCCATCACACACCTGTGCAACAACAATGGGTTTAAGATAAAGATCTCAAATAGTTGATTTTTCACCTCGTTCTTTTATTTAATCTGTTTTAATACAAAGGAGCACAGAAATGTATCTGTAGCAATGCTCACGTCCAGTACTGCTCTTATAAACATGATTAACGTGCTTTGAATGAAAATGATATGATTCAGCATTTATGGATTAAAGGAAGGTGGAATAATCAAAGATTTTTTAAATCTGAAACATTTAAATTAAGCACCAACAGCACAAAATCTCACGTATTTCTTCGTCTCCAGCCGGTCATTTTCTGCCTCTCTGAGCGTTTTGTGGCCGTGACAATGCCTCCAGCCACTCATAACGTCTGTTCCACGCAGCCAGAGAGGAGATGAAGGACTCAACGTGTCCACGTCCCACTAGAGAGCGTTACACAGCAAATCCACGGAATCCACGGAAGGATTGTGTGGTGCTCAGAATAACACAATCCAGATTATCATTTCTGGGAAATACTCAATTTCTTTAAAAGCTCAATAGATGAAGACCAAATTTGGACAAAATGTCCCTTTTAATCACGTTTCTTCTTCTACTGGATCCAATCGTTCCTGAGCTGCACTAAACAAGGCTCCATGCTTCTTCAGTCCTCCCCTGCCATGAGAAGATGTTGGCTAATCCCCTCCGACCAACGGCCATCAGATTATGAGTTGCGCGCGGCGAGTTATAATAACGACATATCTGCATTCCACCAGCGCTCATGAACACAGAACACACACGGAGGATTGAGATCCCGTGTGCATGAAAAACACCGTGCATAGAGGACGGCTCGGAATCCTGCATGCAGCTTTATTTCTCCTTGGGACACAAATATATAATCGTATGTAAATGTGATATTTACGATCTATAATGTTTATTTTATGAATGTTCTTTGCATCTTTGCATTTGTTTGAGAGACGGGAAACATGGGAGAGATCACATGTAGTGAGTCACTTTTAGATTTATGCACGTTAAAATGAAACATGTAGACACATAAAGGCCTGTTTTTCACTCAAATATTCCTGGTCCAAGTTCAATCCACAGTTTGGCTTCACATTGGGCTCAGTCTCACTGTCACGCCGCAAAACCACAAACACACAATACAGACCTCCAGTTATGATAGATGAACAGAACCAGAGTCAAGTCAAGTCAAGTCATTTTATTTTGTATAGCCCAAAATCGCAAATTACAAATTTGCCTCAGAGGGCTTTACAGTCACACATACAACATCCTCTGCCCCGAAACCCTCCATCGACACAGGAAAAACTCCCCAAAAGCTTTCTGATATGAACAAACTAAAAGATCTGAACTAGTTTTCCATCATCGCAACACTGGAGGGAACATGTTGAGGAAGAACAGGACCATAGAAGACCAGCGTCTCATTAGTCAGCATCCCAGTGGAATCACAGCAGATGATTACAGTGAAGGAATAACACGTATATTCAAAGGTGTCGTCCCTGAGGAATGCAGCTTAAAATGTGAGAAAGAGAAACGAATAACAAGTGTGATTTAAAAACGCTGGACACAAGAAGCAAAATGAATCTAACGGATAATACTTCATAATACTTGATGAAACTGATCGGTGCGTATTGTGCATGATATCGGCCTCCTGTATTTGTTTGTGTCATATCAGATATGCTGCTGCTGTGGACCGGCCCCCTGCTCGCTCTGCTGTGCCTTCTGTCCTCCGGTCAAGTCGTCCACCAGCACGCGGGTCATGTACACGCTGTTCCACATCCTCAGCTGCGCCGTGTCCTGCCTCATGCTGTCCCGCACCGTCTCCGAGCTCGTCCGGGAAAACGTGAGCCTCCAGCGTCGGCCCCCCTGAGCTCTGTTAGCATTGTGTACGCAAACGTGTGAGAGGACCCGGAGGTCACCGCGGGGTCAATTACGTGTAAACATAATTGATGTTGTAATATAAAGAAAGACATACTTATCCAACAACTGGATTTATTCCAGTCAAAAACGTCTTTTTGCCAGATTGAATTTGTTCCGATTCTCTATGTTACTGAGCAGAGCTTGAACGCACCATTCATGTCAACAACCCCCCCCCCCGTCGAGTTAGTTGTTCTAAATGTGTTACGTTTGTTTGTGTGTGTGTGTGTGTGTGTGTGTGTGTGTGTGTGTGTGTGTGTGTGTGTGTGTGCGTGGCGTTAACGTCAGAGCGCCAACGTAAAACTTTGGCGGGATCATTTGGCGGGAAAAGCTCCTCAAAGAGACCGGCGCTTACGCGAGTGTGAATGAAGGCGCGCGACGTCTCCTCTGAGCGCGCGAGATGTTCACGGGACGCGTTAAACGTCGGCGTGCGCGCGTGTGTTCCAGGTGCCTTTCTTCAACATGGTGTGCGACCAGGCGCACGGCGGAGGCCACTGCGAGATGCTGGTGGGCTACTCGGCGGTTTACAGAGTCTGCTTCGGCACTTCCTGCTTCTACCTGATGATGGCCATCTTCCTGGTGGACGTGAAGTCCAGTCAGGACTACAGAGCGCTGATACACAACGGGTCAGTCTATATACATATATACACATATATACAATATACATACATGTATATTCAGTGCATGTTTGTCTCACGACGTCTCTGAGCCAATGAGAAGAGGAGGAGGTGTGTCTATAATCTTTAGCGTATTTCTTCTTTTGTAAACGTGGGAATTGTAGATTATTACAAAGACATCAAGCACTAGAAGAGTTGTTGTGTGTTGGATTCACTAACATTCATTAATACAACCGATTGTAGTTTCCCATGAACGCAGCATCACGGCGTGAAAACCCAATAAATAGAACAAATTCCAACCAGACATCATAAAAGCATCAGCAAGCGACCACTGAAGAAACACTGCCCCCCCCCCCCGCCCACTTTAAAGCTCTGTCACACTTTCCATTGCAGTCGATTAGAGCGCTGACGGGTCTCAGATTAGGATTTGACAGCCTGGATTGTTGGATTTAAATCGGCGCCTTAGGAGGAGGACGTGTTCACACTTCTCCCTGCAGATAACAGATTATTTCAAAGAAAACTCCTTAAAATATTATTGTGAAAATGACGACCATGTTTAATTCCCCCCCGGGGGGCCACACACACACACACACATCAGCAGCAGCGTCATTCGTCGCGTCATTCGTCTCGTCAGAGGTCTTTTCCAAACTCCGGCAGCAGTCAGGAGGCGAGAGGAGCTGATGCCGATTCGGCTCTTTGCCTTGTAGTCGCTTGTTCAGGGTGTGGAGACGATCAGTGAGATGAAGATCTGCCACCATGAAGGGTCGGTGATCTCATGGAGACGTCCAACCTTTTCTTTCAAAAATGTGTCCCTGATCTCAGGGAATAAAGCCTGTGGAAAAGCCCTCGTGCCCGAATTAAGTTTTCACAACTTTGTTCAACTACGAAGTGCAAAACAGTGCAAATAGTCCTTTATATTTTCAGACTTAATCACAAAATCATTTGCATCAAATGGACCAAGAGGAGTGGAGCAGAGCGTTCATGATACGTTTAAAAGACAAAAAGACAGAGCGTCTCTTTGGATTGAATCCGTCTGACCTTGTGTCCCCACCTTGTGTCCTTGTGTTGTCTTTGGACCTCCAGCTTCTGGTTCCTGAAGTTCATCACCCTGCTGGTGACCTGCGGCGCCGCCTTCTTCATCCCGACAGAGTCCTTCCTGCACGGTGAGAAGCAGAGACACCGGAGACACGGGTCCCCCCTGAGGGACCACCCGTTTGTCTGGTGGGACGGCGGGACGGTCGGAGGGGACGAGGACGGTGCAGGTCCCCCGAGTCCCACCGGGGGGCAGCAGAGACCCACCGCTGCGCCGTCGTGCATTATGGGACCTTATTATTATGGGAAATCTCTGCATCTTGAGTTCACCGTGTTTGAGACGTTGATTTATGACCCCTGTCTTTCTGTCTTTGTGTCTGTCTCTGTCTCCGTTCAGCCTGGCACTACGTTGGGGTGGTGGGAGGATTTGCCTTCATCCTCATCCAACTCATCCTCATCACAGCTTTTGCGCACACCTGGAACAAGAACTGGTGAGTGGAGGCTGATATCAGTGCATTCAAGTACATAAACAGATTTAAAACATTTTTTTTTTATAAAATGTTATAATATTTTTTGCAATTTTATAAAGTGTGAGAAACAAACCCAGTGACAAACAAAATACAAGAATGTCCACAAACCGTTGTTTCCAGGTTTAGTTTATGGTTCATACTAATGAACATTATTAATATTTGTGTGTAAGAAATAAGACACTAAATAAATCAGGCTTAATACCAATAATAATAATAACAAAAACTGTAACATTATGAAACACGAATAGATGTGTTTTTAGTTTTATATGAAGAAATCTAGAATTAGCACCATAAGGAAATGGCTTTTGACGTAAATGTGTAACCACCCCGTCCTCCGTCCCCCTCTGTCCCCCTCTGTCCCCCGTCCCTCGTCCCCCCGCGTGGCTCTCAGGCTGACCGGAGCGGCAGAGAACAAGCGTTGGTACCTGGCGGTGATGTGTGCCACCCTCTTGTTCTACACCATCGCCACCATGGCCTTCACCTTCATGTACAAGTACTACACGCACCCCGTCGCCTGCCACTTCAACAAGGTGCTGCTGTGGATCAACCTGGCGCTCTGCGGCCTCATGTCCTTCATCGCCGTCACGCCCTGCGTCCGGCAGAGTGAGTCCTGAGAACCGTGAGAGACACCAGGTTCTCCCCCCCCGAGAGGTTTGTAACCCGGTCTCTCCCTCTGCAGAGCAGCCTCGGTCGGGCCTCCTTCAGGCCTCCATCATCAGCTGCTACGTCATGTACCTGACCTTCTCCGCGCTGTCCAGCCGCCCCCCGGAGAAAGGTACACCTTCACTGCTGGTTCTTCTCTACTTAAATCTGCAGGAATCGCTGGTCCTAAAACGTGGGTTGTATGAAGGTGAAAGGTCAAAAAGGACCTTCACGAGGAGGAGATGAGGGGGACGGGTAGGACGAATGTTACGTGTATTTAAGACAAAGATTTCAGCCTTTGAAGTGTGTCAAATGTTTATCACATGGAACTAAATTAAATATGGTCCATACAATTGTTTTATCATTTTACTACCGAACTAATTAGACCAAAGGTGACCTGTCATCCCTGAAATATAATATACTCCATAATCCGTCCATCTGCAAACCACTTATCACACAAGGTCGCTGGAGTCAATCCCCGCTAGAGGCGGGTGAGAGACGGGGACAAGCGCCAGCCAAACACAGAAACATACAACATCCACACGCCATCCACACGCCGTCCACACGCCGTCCACACGCCGTCCACACGCCGTCCACACGCCATCCACACGCCATCCACACGCCGTCCACACGCCATCCACACGCCATCCACACGCCGTCCACATGCCATCCACACGCCGTCCACACGCCGTCCACACGCCATCCACACGCCATTTACACCCACATCCACACGCCATTCACACCCACATCCACACGCCGTCCACACGCCATCCACACGCCATCCACACGCCATTCACACGCCGTCCACACGCCGTCCACACGCCATCCACATGCCATCCACACGCCATTCACACCCACATCCACACGCCATTCACACCCACATCCACACGCCGTCCACACGCCATCCACACGCCATCCACACGCCATTCACACGCCGTCCACACGCCGTCCACACGCCATCCACATGCCATCCACACGCCATTCACACCCACATCCACACGCCGTCCACACGCCATCCACACGCCATCCACACGCCATTCACACGCCGTCCACACGCCGTCCACACGCCATCCACATGCCATCCACACGCCATTCACACCCACATCCACACGCCGTCCACACGCCATCCACGCGCCGTCCACACGCCGTCCACACGCCATTCACACGCCGTCCACACGCCGTCCACCCCACCGCGCCGCCCATAATGATGATCGACTCATTCAAATCATTCAAAAGACACATGAACAACAAAGGAAAATAAAACACGGTGGGTTAGCAGACGAAGAGGAAGAAGACGAAGATGAATAGAATAATAACAGTTCTAAAAGGACGACTGCGTGTTTGTTTCCTCGTCCCGCAAATGTCTCTTTACTGCCGTCATGAAGCGGAACAACGAGCTCATCTGGACTTCTGAACTCCGTTATTTTCACCACAAAATTATGAAAACATGTGTTTTTGTTTTTCTCTCATCATCAGGTCATTACTGATGAGCACACACACACACACACACACACACACACACACACACACACACACTTGTACGGTTTAAACCCTCTATAATTAGCCTCCCTCGTAGTGACTCACCTGTTGGCTCACCGCAGGTGAGACAAAGAGCCTCCACATGACGGAGACGTTAGCGCATGAGGCTTGTCAAAGGGCCACGTCTTATCGGGGGTTTACATCTTAATGGCGTGCGTGCAAATAAGGACGCACACAACTAATCCGGGGTGTGCTCCGACATGCCTCCTGCCGGCCCGGTGGGCCGCGGCGTGGATTTGTTTCACATTCCTCACGGGTCCACTGACAACATAACAAGAAGAATACAGAGGGGCGGCGTCCTCGCGCGTGTCCTCACACCCGAGACGTCCACCAGAAGCTGTCTTC